CATGTACGACCCCTGCGTGGGCCATAGGATCAATGTATGAAATTATATTATGTAATGGTTCGTTGGACCTGGTAAGCACGAACATCTCTCGACGAGACGAGGCAGGCTATGTAATAGCCCAGCTTCTTGTTATAAGTAATGTATTTTCTTTTATTAATCTCGTTCAGTTTCAACGTTTAAGTCAATCAAGTTCGACTTTCAGTCGAAAGTCTATTCGGTTGAATTATTAACCGAGTCAAATTCAATGATCAATTTCCGAACCGTTTATTTTATAAACGGACATTATTAATCGGGATTAATTATTAATAGTTAAAAATGTTCGGATTTAATGTCGATATCAAATTCATGATCAAGTCACGGATGTACGCAAGGTACACATGCATGCACGCATCGCCGTGCATGGCCGTGCGTATGCGCGTGCACGTGCAATCGTGCGCGATGCACGTTGCCGTGCGTAGCGCACGCGTTAAGCATTCACCAAGTATATGCTTATGAGCCCTTAAGCACCATGATCAAGCCTAAGTAATCCAACCTTAAGTCTCTAAGTTGTCGTGAGGATTTTACCAAGGGATAAAGTTGGAGTGCAAGTTGCCATGGTGACTCACCTACTTGCTTAGCACACATGGCACCATACAAGGCCACAGGTGGTGACTAAGCCCGTGCATGCGCGCCACCTCGGGCGATGACTAAGCCGAGGACATGCCACCTCAACCCACAGCTAGGACATGTGGCATCAAGGGAAAAATCGTCATCCTTCACCTCTTTGACCCAAGTTTACCCAACAAAATTACCTTCCTTTAAATAAACGAGCGTGTAACATTTTCCCCATGCATTTCATGCAAAAACCGAGCCAACTTCAGCATACAACTAAGGGAAAATAGTAAGGAAAAATAGAGGAAAAATCATAGAAAAATAGCTAAGGTTAGCCAAAGCAAAGGAGAAGTAAGTGCACACCCAACCGAGCACCGATCACGCACGCAAGTCGCCGTGCACTTCTCGACCGAACTTAAGGGTATATACTTATTTACCCTCTTTTTATGTATTTAAGTTCATGTTACCAAGATCATATCGATATCATGTTGTTCGGTCCAAGTTTTTAGTAAAAACGTACTCGGAGGTGCTATATAAGCCCTCCCGAGTGATTTCAAAATTGGACCGGCAAGTCCCGAGCAATTTATGCATAATTAGTCATTTCAAGTCATTTTATAATCAGCCATATGTGGTGTGACGCCCCGTTCGTTTGTGAATAATTTGGATTATTGTTATTATTATTGTTATTAATAT